ACGCTCTCTGGCGATTTGCGCTCGCAGGCCACCGTCGACCATCATCAGCATCTCCATCATCAGCATCACCGCCTTCGCCGTGACCTAACAGCAGCGACCCTGTTCACGCAACGATCTCCACGAGCGACCACCATCTCCGGTGAGCTCCCTCCCTTCGTCGGGACCCGTCGAGTTCCGTCGAAGTGTCTATCGTGACCGTCGAGTCCCGTCGGATTCCGTCGGAGTGTTAAATGAAGCCGACGAGTTCAGGACGCCGAGCCGCCATTAACGCTGCCATCAACCTCCACCACCGACTGCTGCCTTGCTGCCCTAGCGTGAAGTCACTCATCGTCACGCGATCGTCTCCATCAACCACCAGCGAGCCGAGCGTGAGCCGTCGAGCCCCGTTGTGCACCCTCGACGACCTCCCTCGTTTCGTTTTTCAATCGATTCCCGAGAGCGGTACCTAGGCTCGAACCTCGTCTCGTTTAATTTCATGATTGTGTTATTGTGATTGATTGCGTGTCAATGTGCTGATCGTGTGGATTACCAGTTGATTACGTGCCTTGGATATGTTATTGTGCCGTATATTGAATTTATATGTGTTTTGGATATCAAGGTGATTGCCGTCACTTTGGTTTATCGTCGAACTGAGTTTCGATTAGTATTATTCGTGGAATTCCTGGAGTTCTAAGTAGTTGGAGTCGTCCTTGAGCTGTTAGTTCAAGTTTGGAGTCGTTTCGATGTATATACTGCGAGTTATAATTTTTACAAACCGAGCGTGCTGCTGAATCGTAATTAATTCATGATAAATCGTGTGATTGTCCGAATGCTGTGAAATTTTATATGTGATCTGCTGTGATAATTTTGTAAGTCGTGTAAAATTTTCAAGTCGAAACTCCATCTGTAACTATTTTAATTATATAAATCGGTTTCTGGTCAGAATCTTGTAAAATTCATTAAAAATCGTACACTTAGAGTTTTGAGCTGAAACCTTGAGGAGTATGTTATTTTGAATTATTATGTGTTGTGTCAAAATTTTGGATTAAAATTCGAATTGTAGCTATATGAACTATTAAACGTCGTATTTTTGCACTGTTTTGTTTTAAATATTTAAAAATGCTCCCAAATGACTTTTGAGCTGAAACTTGGTGACGTTATGTGATTGTATATACCCTGTGATATGGTAAAGTTTCAGGTTGATTGGCTCAGTCTAACTCCAGATTCTGAATTTTGTCTATTTTGGTGTCTTAATGCTCGGTTGTTCGTTGTTTAGGTTCGGGTTGGATTTTATTGATGTTGGCATGATTTATGTGAATCATCTGAGATATTTGAGTTGTGTTCAGGTCTAGTAGTCACTCCAAAGTACTTAACTCTGTCAAGGAATCCACGAGTCACTTAGTCGATATGGTTTCGGCTAATTATGTGTTGCTTGTGTGTTGCTTGTGTGTTGTGTTGTATTGAATAGTCTGTTGATAGGACTATCATAATTGGTGTAGGTTCATCGAGCTTAACTTTCGCCGTTATTTCTTCAACTGCTTGTGTTGGCTATATTCCGGTATCCAGGTGGGTTTTAATTTAAATTTTGCTATGCTATATTTGAGGTAAGATTTTTATACTTTGTGTTCTATGAATGTATGTGTGAGTCATGAGACGGTGCCTAGTGGTGGGCGATCTCCAACCTTGTGATAGGTAGACTCATTTTAGCCTAGTTGATGGGCCGTGACCTTTGATGTTGAACATCGGCACGACTGTACTCCCGCTGACGAGTTTGGGCTTACCCCTCGCGGCTTTTGATAGGTGTGCACATGAGTATAGTGATGAGTAGGAGAGTGGTGTGTTATGTATTTTGGCTATGTACTTGCATATGACTCTAGTATAGGTTTCTTACCAATATATTATGCATAGTGGTGAGCACCTCGTTTATATTTGTGCTCATCCCCACCTGCTCTTCATTGATGCAGGTTAAGCACGTGTTGGGCATGACGAGACTAAAGACGAGTGGATGGTCAATCATTATTAATGCTTTTATTTGCTTCCGCATGCTTTGTTATTTATGTTGGGATTACCAGACTTGTTTATTCATCCCTATTGCTTTTTGGGATTGGTTGAACTGTTGAACCATGTGGAATAATTTTATCAGTTTGGATTATGTTGACAATCCTATTGCTAGATATGTTGAAATCTAGTCTTGGAACTTGAATTATGTTGAATATTCTCGTTTCCTTTATGCTGATTATGTGATTAACCTTGGAAAATTCTCAAGTAGCGCCAAATGTTTTATAAATCGATAAATGGTTTCGAAATTTTAAAACAAGATTTTTTGGATAAGTCCAAAATTGTCTTTAAAAATCTTTGGGGCGTTACACTTAGCCTATCTCAGCAAGGCACTGGGCACTACCCGATTGGGTCTATCGGTGTATGTGAAGGAAATGCTAGCAGTTGTCGAGGCTGTAAGGTGCTGGAGGCCTTATCTGTTGAGCCGACGTTTTCAGATTGTTACCGACCAACAACCGCTTAAGCATCTATTGGAGCAAAGGATTGTTACCCCCGAGCAGCAGAAGTTCGTATCTAAGATTATGGGGTTTGACTTCGAGATAATTTATCGACCGGGTCGACAGAATGCAGTAGCTGACGCCTTATCCCGAAGAACAGATGTAGCCGAGCTGAATGCTATCTCTGGGCCAGCTTGGACTATTTGGGAAGAAATCAGGAAGGCGCAAGAAGAGGACACCTATTGCCTGGAGCTGCACCAATCGATAGAAGCAGGAAAGACGACTGCTATCGACTACGAGTTGCATAATGGTCTGCTTCTACACCGAGGCTGAGTATTCGTTCCCGACAGTGGGCAGTTACGTGAGCAGATCATACAGCATTTCCATGACTCTAAATTTGGAGGCCACTCGGGTATCTATCGCACGTGGATGAGAATAGCCAACACTTTCTTCTGGCCCGGACAACAGAGTACCGTCCGAGACTACATAGCACGATGCGACGATTGCCAGTGCACTAAGTCTGACTCACGACGACCGAGCGGGCTGTTGCAACCACTACCAGTACCCGAGGCGATCTGGGAAGACATTACTATGGATTTCATAGAGGGGTTACCGAATTCAAATGGATTTGACGGTGTTATGGTTGTAGTGGATCGTCTCACCAAGTATGCTCACTTCATACCCATTACCCATCCTTATACAGCAAAGTCAATTGCCAGGTTATTTTTGGAGTACGTGATGAAACTGCATGGAGCACCTCGATCCATCGTCTCTGATCGAGACCGGATTTTTATGAGCAGCTTTTGGTCTGAATTCTTCAAGTTGCAATGGACTAAGTTATCTATGAGCTCAGCCTACCACCCACAGACAGACGGACAAACTGAGGTAACCAACCGAACCCTTGAGCAATACTTGAGATGCTACATCCATCAATTCCCAAAGCGGTGGGAAAACTTTTTGCCCTGGGCTGAGTATTGGTACAACACCACTTACCACGAGTCGACCAAGATGACGCCATTTGAGTTGGTATACGGGCGAAAACCCCCAACGCTGATCAATTATTCGGAGGGGAGTACAATCAACGATGAGGTTGGTCGAGAACTAGAGGAACGAGATTTGATGTTACGTGAGCTAAAGAAAAATCTCGAAGGCTCAATTAATCGAACCAAAGCCTTCGCATATGGGAAAAGGCGTGAGGAAAATTTTGCACCAGGAGAGTATGTCTACCTGAAGCTACGACCATTCAGACAGCGCACCACAACACAAAGGGCCGCAACTAAACTGGGCGTTCGCTATTACGGGCCTTATCAGATTCTAAAACGCATTGGTCAGGTAGCTTACCGCCTAGAGTTAACCTGAAAGTTCACAAATTCACCCAGTTATCCATGTCTCACAACTCAAGAGGAGTCTAGGAGAAGATCAGAAGTATTGTGAGGAGTTACCTGCAACCGCAACCGATGGTAAGGTCATAGTACGACCAAAACGAGCGATTGGGTACCGTAAGGTAAAGAGAGCAGGGCGCTATCGTTGGGAAGTACTCGTTGACTGGGAAGAGTTGCCATCCGAGGAAGCCACGTGGGAGGATCTTGACGAAATGCGTGATCAATTCTCGAATTTCATCCTTGAGGACAAGGAAGCACTTGAAGGGGACGGGAATGATGCGGAAGTGGCTAGACAGCTCAAGAACGCCGCCAGTCGGGCCTACCATGTGCGCAAGAGGCAAGCCCGAGAGACGGCAGAGGTACGCGCACTGGAGCGTAGTGCACGCGGGGCAAGCGAGGAAAGGCCGAACGAAGGTGCGCGAGTCGTATCCGCGGACGCACGGTGTGCACGGGCGTTGGGCGAGACGGACGCGACGCGAGGCA